GACCTTACTGTTAAAAACAAAAAAAATTTAAGTTTAAAAAAAAAAAGTGTAAAATCCACCGAATTGAGGCAATGAAAATGTTAAAATACTGTTTCATTGTACTGGTATGAAAGAAGAAATGAAAAATAAATACATTTCATGGATGTGTAAAACATATGTTTATAACCTTCAATACTTTTACCTACTGTAGTTTAATAACTTTAGATCCGACATTATGTTTAAAAAATTAGGTATACATCGTTGTATTCATTTCGAAAAATTTCTTTTTGTGAAATCTTTTTAAGAAACATTGTATATTTACAATTAGTATGACGACTTTTGAGTTATGGGTAAATTTGTATAAGCAACTAACTGTGTTTCGGTAAATTTCCCAATCGTAAACAATAAGAATATAAATACATGTAAAAAGTGTTAAAGATTTAATTCCTACAATTTTGCCTATTAGCTCGCTAAATTTAGGATTTTATATTTAAAAAATTCATAATTGGCTGTAAATGTGGGAATTAGTTCCTTATCGAATGTAGAACAAACCATAAAAAGTTCCCTTAAATCACATGCCCGCTTCCATCCAAAACAGAGGGTCAAAGCACTTTCTGTCGTATTTTATGATTTTCCTCATATCTCCGTCAAAAACCATCGTTATTGAATTCCAAAAATACTAATATAATCGGCAACGATGCTTGTTTTAGAATTCATCGAAGGTTTCATGACAAAAAAAAAAAAAAAATTAAAAACGAGCTGTAAATTGATCTATTTGGTATCAATAAAGCGAAATTGATTTTAGTTCTGTCACCTCTCATAACTTTATAACTACTGACAAATGAAAAATAATGTTTCTTATATTTTTTGTAGTTCTTAGTAAGAGAAATATTCGAAACCTGTTTTTTTTTTTTTTTTATATTTTCTAAAAAGTAGTGGAGATATGTTATTTTTTAATAAAAAAAGACGCAATCTCAAAACTGAATTCCATCGCGGACTATTCGAACTGAATGGATAGTTAGTTATAGATGAGGAGCTACACACTATAGGATTTTCATTTAATTGTAGGGCTTACAGTTAGTAATAATTTTTAAGTGTAGATATACCTCATCTGACCTCACAATATCGATCTGTCGATGGAAAGCAGAGGGTTTCTATACGAAAATTTAAATAAAAATAGTCAAATATGATATTTCATTTATCGGAAGAAATTACTGGTGAAATTTTTATTTTGTGTAAACAATATAAATTTCCCTAAAATAGAATTCACCTTGTCTGACAAGTAGTCGGTTGTATTTTGAAAACTGACCACGTTAAAGTCATCGAAATAGTCCAGTCGAATGGAAGTTGGATGTGCGAAAAATTCAAATTTCAATTTCAGGTTTCTCTTCGGTTTTTTATGTTTTTTGGGATGCTGAATCTGAATTTGAAGTTACCGAGTGAAATTTTAGATTACGTTCCGAGATATATGCAAAAAATAGCGAACTTTCTGCCCCTTTTTTAGTTTTCTTAGATATGATTCAGAAACAATGCATTTTATCAAATCCTAGTCTATCAGGAAAACTTGGATTAATTCTAATACAAGAATTCTTGCCGATTATTTTAGTCCTTTTGGAATTTAAGAACGATAGTTATGGTTGGAGTTAAGAGAAAAAACATAAAATAAGACAGAAAGTGCAAGGTCGCCATCTTTGACCCTCCATTTTGGATGCAAGCAGTCATGGAATTTTAGGGGACTTCATAGTTTATTCCACTATCGATAAGGAATTAATTCCCACATTTACAGCCAAGTATGAATTTTCTTGATTCCTCTGTTCCCCTGAAGTAGGCACTGTTTTTTGCCCACTTTTACTGGACTGTATGTAGTTTAATCTTACTTATTCATAAATAAATATATTTACTTTCTTCAAATTTTGTCTATAGAGCTGAGAGACTGGAGTTATGTGATTAAAATAGATTGACGCATTAAAAGATTTTTATTGCTTACAATGAATAAAATAATTAGGGTATATGTTATTTTGATGGTCTTAATGAGCTCTTGTATTGATGAATATGACCGAAATTCAAAAATATGTTGTTTAATATTAAAATTCATTAAAAATTTGTTTCAAAAACTTATAGTCCGAATGTGCCAAGAATTGCTTTTCAAAGTAGAGCGGTAAGTGAAAGTTTTGTGATGCCGGCATCAGATTTTTTTGTATATGATTACTAAAATTGGAGTATAACGGTATTGTTCACCAGCTGTATATAGATTTTAAAAAGGCTTACGATTCTATTGACCGCCAGAAACTGTATAATATTCTAATCGAGCAGGGGATTCCAAAAAAACTAGTAAATCTAGTCAGGATGTGCTTGACGGAGACACTCAATAAAGTTAGAATCGGTAATAATTTGTCCGAAAAATTTGAGGTTCGTTCGGGCTTAAAACAGGGGGATTCTCTTTCGCCTGTCCTGTTCAATTTGGCATTAGAACATGCCATTAGGGAGGTAATGCGTACCGAGAAAGGGTTGGATCTGGGCGGGACAACATCCGTGCTGGGCTATGCTGATGATCTGGTACTGTTAAGCGAAGACGTTGAAACTATAAAACTAAATACGACAACGTTAATGAAAGCCGGTAAAGAACTAGGACTCGAAATAAACGTGGATAAAACAAAATATATGGTTAGCTGCAAAAATGGCGATACTACTGGTGATATCGATATAGATGGTAATATGTTTGAACAGGTAGATAAATTTAGGTATCTAGGTTCTACGATAACTAGAAAAAACGAAATTGAAGAAGAGATTAAGGTTAGACTGAAGGCGGGGAATGCTTGTTATTTTTCTGTGACAAAACTACTCAGTTCGCGCCTCTTGTCCCGAAACTTAAAAATTAGAATCTATAAAACAATTATCTTGCCTACAGTTCTTTATGGATGCGAAACTTGGCCGCTTACATTAAGGGATGAGCAGCGTCTTAAGGTTTTTGAAAATAAAGTATTGCGTAGAATATTCGGACCGAAGAAGGATGAGTTAACCGGAGAGTTCAGACGGTTACACAACGCCGAATTGCGTGAACTATATCCGGGTAATATAATTGAGGCAATTTCATCGCGGCGAATCAAATGGGCTTGTAAAGTTGTTGGGCTTAGTAACGAGAGAATTCCTAAAAGGTTAATATTTGCTGTGCCGAATGGTAAGCGTCGGAGGGGTAGACCGAAGCGAAGGTGGGAAGATTGCATTAAAGCTGATCTGAAGGGACTGGGTTTGGACGGCGAACGGTGGAGGGAGGTGTGTAACAGGCGATTGGTGGTGTCGGCATCGAACCTCCGGGTTCGCTAAGCCTTATTATTATTATTATTATTACTAAAATGAAATAATAAAAGAATGGCTGCTCGCCTCAATGCCTGAAAAAATCATTTGTCAATGTTAGAATTCACATTGTGATGCTCTAATTGAAACCCTAATAAAATTAAAATGTAATGATTTGCCAAGAGTAATCCTTAATTTTGCCAGAACTGCAATTAAGAATTAACCATGTTCCAATGGAAATATATAAAAAATAATTCTAAAGTATCAATTCAAATACTTATTAGGTCATCAAAGGCAAGGATTTGAATATTTCCCTTTTTTCTCTCTACAAATATCCCAATACCTTTCTATAGAAGTTATATGAACTCACTATTTGATCATGCCATGTAAATTATTTGGAATATCTTGCTCTCCATGGAATGGTAAAACTTATTGAGGAAATGACGTTCTTAAAGTTTGCCACTTTCGTCAAGAACTAAGGTCATATCAAATCCATTTTGATTATAAATGTTTATCGATAAAACTTTAAATACTTATAATTGCATAATGTTAAGTAGAGATTGGATTTTCGTGCAGTAAAAAACTGAAAAAGATGCAATATAAAACACGAAATGTTCAAAATCGTGCTGTAAAAACCTAAAAAAGGTAAAATTGTGTTTATAACACCTAAAAAAAAAAAAAAAATTGAAAATCTAATTTTTGACTGTATACTGATTTTGTACCTTCAAGCCATATAAATATAGTGGCAGCGGAATGGGTAGGAGGCCTATACAAAGTTATGGATATCTATTAAAGAAATTTAGGTTTAAAACTGAAATTGAAAGTCCTTGAAGTGCAAAATATGGAACATCGTCTAATAAAAAAAAAAACTTTTAATTTAGTTTAAAAATGTGCTAGATTGCGAAACAAATAGATAATCAGGTTTGAAGTTTAATAAAATGTGCAATAATAAGGAAATGGTTCTTGAATACTTACTTGAAAAAAATATCATTTATTGCTCTTGTTTTTTTATTACAATTTTCTAGGAGGCTTGATTTGTTTCAGGAAGGTTTTCTTCTTTTCATTAGAGAATAAGTTTCAAACTTTTATTAATTCATCTACAATATCCCATTTCTTATTTTAAAACTATTCAACGTTTGGAGTTTTTAGTTATATTACATATAAAAAATATGTTGGTACCAAAACCTGGGTGCCAACTATTGGTGCAAATTTTTCTGTCAGAATATTTTAAGTTTTTTATGAATAATTAACGAATTGAGTGTTTAGAAAAAAAAAATGATAAAAGTCTAAATTGGCTGATCATTCAACTTATTTGCAAAGATTGAAACTAAAGCTGTGGTTCACTTTAATATTGAAAGTTTCTTTTAAAATATTTATCACCAGTACATTTATCTTAACTTTAAAAAAAAAGAAAAGGTTAGCATCGTTCCTTCTCGGAAACTATTAAAAAAACAACAAAAAGAATTTGTGAATTTACAAATATAGTGCTGCCAATTTAAGACACATAATATTCATATGGGTTCCACTAACCCATCTGTCACTTTATGGATTAAAGAGTTACTGTGATATTTCTCTAAAATTTCATCCAATTTGTTCATATTATCATTATATAATTGATTTTTATCTAAATTACTTAGATATTTTTAATAACTGATTTATTATGTTTTTTATGTATTATTATTTTTGTTAAAAATCTGTGTATTTATATTTTCTTTTTAAATTATTAGCTGTTCTTGCTCGCAACGCCATATTTATCAGTTCTCAGACAAGAAGTTTCACTGTGGATCATCCATTTTTCTATTTATTGACAATGAAAAAATTTAATACTCCTCTGTTTATTGGCAAAATTGGTAATCCAAAACTTTTTTCTGGATAAAATAATCATCGATGCTGGTTCAACTGTCCATTACTGGTTCTGGGCTACCTGAAAAAGAACATTGCATAAAATAATTATTTATAAATAATTAGTTTTACTTTATTTATAGTTATAATGCATGTCCTTCATTATTGATAATTACCAATAAATTCACTTGAAAATTTAATAGATAATTCTTTTATTTTGTACATTTCATGTGAGGGGTCTCCAAATTTTATACAGGATGTCCCATAAGTAGAGTGAATATTTAAAGAGGTGATAGCAGATCTCAAGAACTACAAAAAAAATTATATAAACAATGGCCAATTTTTACACAGAAAACTAGAATATTCAAGTATTTATTTTTTATGTAAGCCACGTTTTTTGCTGAATAAACATAACTAAAAAATATTTAATTTAAGTAATTAACAATTGAGGCATTGAAAATCAATAGCTAGTAAGTGCCAAAATTTAATTTTTACAGGGGACGCCAAAACCACTACATTATCAATGCAAAATCCCCTTCAGTTAAAACTAGCGCAATTTTTGCCATCAAAGGAAAACTAAACTAAGGTCAACTGGCAGTTATTATTTTTTCAGTGTCACTGTGGATGAAATATAGCTGAAATATGTATGAAATATATATCATTTTAACAAAAAAAAAGAATTGTTTTCGTGTTTTTGGCATCTACAACATTTTCACTGTCAATGTTTCAATTGCTTCACCGTAAACTAGACCAAATTTACTTCAAATGGAAATAAATTTTGTTTTTGTTATAATCATTATGTTTAAATTTCTTCAAATTGTGTATCTTTTTTTTGTATAAAAATAAATTTTTTATAAATGCTGAATAATAGAAGCAAAATATTATAAAACTCCATAATTTTTAAAATTTTAATATTTCCTTTTACTCAGTTCCCAGAAGCCATTAAATTTTGGTATATTAAAGCACTAAAAAAAAAAGAAAGAAATTGATTAAAATTTGTGCCTCATTAACTGTTTTTTACCTCCCCATCTAAATGAAGGATTCAGGATGGCTAAAATTTGGAGAACCTGTAATTATTATTATATTATATATAAAAATTGTAATAGAATTTGATTGGGAGATGTGCCCCTATACCATAGGACTTCTTATTTGTGTGTTATTTTATCTATGACTCCTCACAACTAACAACCACTACAATTCATGCTAATATCAACAATATTTCTACCTTTATTTACAAAAACTATTTTGCAGTTGATTATATTTCTATGATGATAATAAGATATATGATCATAAAATAAATATATCATGATATATAAACATAGCTTATTTTCATTCAAAATTTGATTTACCAATGAAACCTTAATACATTTTTTTAGGTTTATGACATTTTTAATTTAAATTATTGTTAATGGTTCAGATATTACAGTATATATATATATATATATATATCTATTTATAATCATTTTATGTACTACTTTTATCAACCTGATTAAATTCTAGTATTTATATCAAGGTTCTACTGTATTTTATTTTTTACATCATCACTTGAAATCTTAATCATAAGGACACAAAATCCAGTAAAATAATTTAATTATTGTATATCAACATTAGTAACTGATACTAATAATATTTGTAAAACTATTGTATTCAAAACATATATAACAAATTTCTATTATAAATTTTAACACAGGAGTATTTGTTATTTATTTAATTATTAAATATGTAAAATCATTGCCACTTTAAAGAGTCTAGTCACTACAAGATATGAAAATTTATTTATTAAAAATAAATGAGCAAATGTGTGTTTCAGTAAAGTGACTTTTATTGTTTTAAACTGTTGGTAATCAGAATTTTATTCAACTGGTAAATTTTCTGTTGTGTACAATCAACAATGTGTCTAACACAAGAGCTTAAATGAATAAAAAGTAATTGAAAAATGTTTGTTTTTTACTCCCTTTTTCTTTTTTGTAATATTTACGGTTTATGGATTGAGAATAAGCTTTACACACATACACACAGATTCACATATATACATCAAAACATCATATGTTTGTGATAATCCATATATAAGTTAAGTTTCACAGGGGTAAAACAACTGTGAATGCTGTCACTTGAATATGTAGTCAATGAATCAAAGAACCAAATCTTTCTAACTAATTTATTCAAATATGACAGAACTAATTTTCTATAGTAAAATTAATCAAACATGTGATGCCATTATTGTCCAAGTCTAATTATAACTATGAAATAGTATTGTGGCTAATACCATGGCACTCCAGATCCTAATTATCTCTGCCAGTTTACGAACATTTTTCATAAACTTTGTATCAATAATAATATGTATAACAGAGTACACTCCAATTCTATGATTTAGAGTTTTAGATGTTCAATGTGGACTGTCCTTTTCCTCTTTGTTGAAACGAGGCTTCTGGCAGCAGTTGGATGTCTGGGGAGGGATCTGTTCCTTGCTGCCATCTTCCAGTTCTGAACCCCAAGTATGGATTGGGCATCTGCAGCATCAACATCCATTCATCGCAACCTTGGTCTTCCTCTTCTTCTTTTTCCAAAGATTTCTTTCAGAGATAAGTTTTTTGGAACCTGATCATCAGGCATTTTGATAACATCTCCACCCCAGCTTACTTTAATAATTGTCACCACATCAGAATCCTCATACAATTCCAGTAATTCAGCTTTAGTCTGCTGTCTTCAGACTCGACTTTCACATATTCCTTTCAAGATTCTCCTCAGAATCAACCTCCCAAATATTAGATGAGCTGGTAATAGTCCAGCATAAGGAGGACCTTAGTGGATCGGATTCGGATCGAGGTGGATCTTAGTGGATACTACTTTGCTCTTGAAATATCCAACTATTCGATTGTAGCACCTATTTGGAAAGATAATCCGACGCCGAATTTTCTGTTCACTGTCATCTTGGGAATTGACTTGGGATTCTATATAACTAAATTCCTCCACTCTATTGAAGAAATAGGGCCCAATTCGCGTGAATGATTCTTCTCCGTGGGTGGTTCAATGGCCGTGAGGGGTTGTAGTCATGTAATTTGTTTTTGCCCCATTAATAATGAGCCCCATTCTTACTGGTTGGAGCTTTAGGAATACATCTTTCAGAGCTTTAAAGGTTTATCCCATCACGTCTATGTCATCGGCATACCCAAATATCATTGCAGATCTATTGAAAATTGAACCTCCAACATGGATTTCAGATCTCCTCTCTGCTCATTCATTTAGAATCTACTTGCCTAAGGCCTTTACACGTGCAAGAACTTTGTGAGGTGATATCCTGAATATGGGACCATACATTTTATCTCCCATCATTGTCATGCCTTTAAGGAGAATGAGCTTGACAGGAATTCTTATATTCAACAGTCCTTTGTGGAGTTTTTCTCTCATACTCACTGTCATACGAAACCCAAAAATCAATGAAGAGGTAATAAGTGTTTATCTATATTCCCTACATTTTTCCAGTATTACCTTCTACCAGTACTACTGTAGGATTAATGTTTCGAATATTCTCATCCATATGATTAGAAAAATGCTCTTTGATCTCAGGATCGTTTAGTTTAGTTAGTGTATTTAAAGGTGGTATATTTCGTTGCACACGGGCAATAGAAATTCTTCTTCTGATTCTTGATTAAAGGGTGATGGTTCAGAGTCTATATAGTAGCCCCTCTGTGGGCCCTAACATTCATCAATAGGATTAATGTTTCGAATATTCTCATCGGTATGATTAGAAAAATGCTCTTTGATTTCAGGATAGTTTAGTTTAGTTAGAGCATACTTTAAAGATGGTATATTTCCTTGCATACGGGCAATGGGAATACAGGTCATAGATGGGCCTAAGAATTTTCCTCTCAAACGTTAAAATATTCCTTTCATCAGTCTTTGAGAAGGACCATGTTTCTGCCCCGTAAGTAAGCACTGTTGTTATTATTTTTATAAGTCTTACACAGCCTTATATTTGTGGCTCATGCCAGTCAGACTCAGTCTATAACGTATTAGCTGATGTTATTCGCCTCCTTATCTCAGCCGATTCATCATTATTTGTATTTAACTATAAACCAAGGCAAAAAAACTCATCCACTCTTTCAAATGGATTGTGCCCCAACTGGAAAAATCTTAATTATGACTTCCAACATGACCAGAAATCATATACGTGGGTTTATAAGTCTTTACAACGAGTCCTAGCTTTTGATCTCACCACTAAATCAAGGTCATCCGCACATCCTATTTGTACCATACGATGAAAGACTGCTCCTCAGGCCTGGATCTTTGATTCTCTTATAGCTTCTTCCAAACCAACATTGAATAATATATAAAGACGAATGAATTTCCTTGTCGAACACCATTATCTGAAGTAAATACTTCAGATATATATATATATATATATATATATATATATATTTAGAGTGCGTATCACACAACGCGCACCAATATTGCTCATCGTATGTTTTACCTGGCGGATAAATTTAATAAGTACATTAAGATCTGTGATTACCTGATACAGTGGTTCGGCCGTAGGCTGAGCTTAAACAGATGGTGTGTTTGGATTTGATATTCTCTTCTTCGTTCTATAATAGTTTGTAAGGCGAATATTTGATCTGTAATGTATTTCCCTTTACGGAAGCCACATTGATATTTCCGAAGGACACTCTCAGAACAAGGTAGCAAACCGTTGGTGCAATATGTTTGAAAAGATCTTGTAGGCGCATGGCAGAAGATAGATTCCTCGATAATTATTGCATTACAACAAATCTACTCTTATCTTATGAATAGGCGATAAAATCGTCTTATTCCAAGTTGTCAGGATCCTTTCTTAAATCCAGATAACAACAAGAAGATTCTGTAATGCTTGAAGTAGCTGATCTCCTCCTTTCTTGAACAGTTAAGCGAACAATTTTTCAAAGCCTTGTGCCTTTTTCCTTTTTTAACTTAATAAATTTCCGATTTGGCCCAATCTAGATTCCAATCCTTCCATAATAAACTTCAGAACCATCCGAATCCTCTCGTCTCTAACCTTGCTTCCTCTTCTATTTCTGATAATCCTCCGAGGCGTCTAAAAAGAAGATGGCCTCGAGATCTCTTATTGTAAATACATCTTGTTTTTAGAGTGCTACCAATGGGTAGTTTCTCAACAAGTGATTTCATGTTATTATTTTCTGTTATCAAATTTACTAAATGTATTTTATTTATTAATACAGTTGTAAATATCATGAATAAATAAAAAAACAAAAAACAATAATACAATAATTCCTCTTCGTCTGGGGACTCGAGTTCATCTTCAGGAATTCGATTAAGGCAAACTTCTTGTTTTTTAATTTCTTGTGTCTGATTTTATTTAAGTAGATGTTTGAAGTGGCCACTCTATCTCTGTAGTACTTCTCGTTCAGTAGCTTTCGATCCCAAATCCTTGTAGTCTGATTTGAGAAACTATTTATACGCAAATGTTTGTATCTAACCAATAATACCTAATGGAGTGTATTTTTAATAAATATTAATGCTTCTAAGATAAAATAATGTTTATTATGATTGAAATATTAATTTCTATTTCCTGAAATGTAAATGAATATTAAACATATTATATTACCAATAAAATAAAACACGATTAAATGGTTTCCAGGTGATGTTGTAATGTTGAGAGCGGTTTATAAACCCGAAGAAATGAAATGCGATCATCCATTTATTTTTAGGATCATCAGAAAGGATTATAATTTTGTGATGTTTGAAGGCAATTTTATCAAGCCTTCACCAAAGAAACCTAAAAAAAAATTATAACAGGTGTGATTTTAAGCTTGCCTAACTTTCGACAGATTTAATAAATGTTTGCTATAATAACTCAGTTTTATAATATTTGTTTTATCTTTTCTTTTAAGTTGCATTATTGTTTATACAATAATATATGGGTTTCTACAAAGAAAGTTTACGATGTGAATTACGTCCTTCAAACTTTTGTGAGAGTTTTGGGAGAGAGAAGGTGTTGTTTGAAAATCAAAATAATCCAATTATAATACTTCTGATGTGCTTAATGTTATAAGCCATTATGACCAGATTAACAATGAAAGTTAAATATATTTATGTGCAATACATTTTTTATTGAAAAGAAAGAGAGGTGTGTTTGCTCCACAAACAAAACAAAAAAAAAAAAATTATATATGATCCTTCAATTTATAAATGTATAGAAATAGAATATTAACATATGTGTATGAAATTAAGAAGAGAAAAAAAAAATCTGATCTTAAATAAAATTTCCACATAGCCAAACTTAGTATAGCGGCAGATACAATCAACTATTATTGTCAGCTATACTATTGTTGCGTTTAAATTGTACATCTGTCCGAAAAATATCCCAGAAGCATATGTTCGAAAATGCAAGAATATAAAAGGAACTAAACATTGAAATTATTTTAAAATAATTTAGGTTAGCTGATCGATCAGCTGTTGCGAAACGTTGTGTTTTCTCCTCGGCTCTCTGAATTTGCTTGTTTTTCAGCGGAATCTCTGAGATTATTAATTTAAAACAGGCCAAGGGAGAGAAACACTTTATTTTCATAAAATATAAAATATTTTAAATAAACAGCATACTCTTCTATTCTTAGGACAATAAATGAACTTATATATAAATATACAGAAGTATTAGTTACTATTAGTAAAATATATATATATATATATATATATATATATATATATATATATATATATATATATACATATTTTTTCTTTATGTATTTTTTCTTTTTTTTTTTCTTTTTCCTTCCTTTCATTGTTCATGTTTTTTTTATTTTTTTTTAACATTTAGTTTCCCTTTCTCTCACTTCACTCTCTCTTTATCTCTATTGTTTTCAATTATTCATTAAATAAATAAATAAATACATAAACTAAAACTCTCGGGCTAGCCATGCACATAGTGGTGAATGATTCCCAGGGAGTCGAGGACTATATTTTCTGCCAACCTCGCTACGTCCTTAATGTCGACACCTTGTTACTCGAGGAAGCTCCTTGTTCTTTTTGGAATAGTTCCGCGAGACCCAAACCAGAGCCCTCTCACCGTGAACTCTCTCTCTCCGAAGGTCTCATGGAATTTATCTTTTAGGAAAGGGATACATTTATCGTACGTGTTCTTCTTTTCCCTTTCCACTTCACTCGCCTGATCGAGGTCATTGCTCTCAAAGCGGACAGTTGGATCCAAGATCAGCGCCGTCCTTCTTGTCTTGGGAAATGCGACGATATCCACGTATCTCGTAAAGCCTTCATACCTCGTCAAATCAGATGAATTTCCTTTCTCTAAGGAGTCTCATCAACTCGAACTTGACCTGGTGGTGACGACGTGTTATGAGGAGGGAGTTGTTGGGGCATTTTCCCAGCACATGGGCTGTTCTTTCAGACTCTCTGCCGCATTTACGGCAAAGAACAACTGTTATTTACTCTGTACTGTAAATTGTATATAAATATTATTTTTCCTTTTCTTTTATGCTAGGTCTCCATCAGGTCATGTCTTGTAGAGCGTCTATTCATTGGGCTCGACAACTCATTTTTTGGGTCTCAAACAAAAGCCTCATCAATCTCGTCAAACACCTCCATTGACATAAAACCTAACCACATCGTCAAAAGGTACAATTAAAGAACCTCAGACTCAAGCAGATACATTGTTACAAGAGACAACTGAAGAATCTCCCTTTTTTACACCCAACCCCTATCAGGAACTTCAGAATGATGGAGAGGTGATGGAGTCCGCTCTGATACCAAGATACTCCCGAACGTCACCGATATTCGTTAAAAACATAACAAATTTTCAGTTACTATGTTCTCAGATAAACAATATCACACGCTCTGGAAGATATTCATGTCTAGGCAAAAGAAAAGACACTAAAATATCACCAGATGCAGCAGAAATCTACAAAAAAATCATGAAATATCTAACAGAAACCAAAGCAGATTCTCCTGCATATCAATTACGGCAAGAACTTTAAGAATACTTATAAGAAATCTATACCAATGTTCTGAAAGAGAATAAAGAAGACAGCCCGGAGAGTTCCTTTATCCTTATTTTTCGTAGACTTGAAGCCAACTCTAAGAATCTAAAAAATATACGAAATAAGACGAATGCACTATACAAGTATGATAACAGAGAAACCATATTCTATGAGAGAAATCGCCCGGTGCCACAATTGCCAGGCAGATGGCTACACTAAGACTTACTACCACTATTTCCATGTTATGTGAAGTGTGGAGAGCATTAGTATCTGGAGAGTCCTGAAACGAAATCTGAAATCGAAAACTGAAACGAGGCCCTGCAATATGTGCTTTGTTCCAGCGATCTACAAAATCTGCCAGATATACAAAATTATCAAGTCAAAATATTAAGGAGATGTACCCAAAATGCATGGATGAGAGAGGGGCGAGGAATAGCGGGAATTCCCTTGACGATTGGCTTTTTAATCATTTGCTATTTCCTGTGTTTCGAAGAAGATAAGAGTAAGGGGGGATGATAAATATTAAAAACGATTACGTATATTCATTGAGTTGCTCCATCTGATAACCCCCAGTTGTCAGAAGCTATATGATGGCATTCCTCAATCCAACATTTATTTCAGGTTAGTAACTACGCTGTCATTTAAGCTGCTACTACTTTCTTACGATTTTCACTGCAAATTATAGTTCTAAACCTCAAAATTCGATTTTAATCCCTTTAAAATAAGCTAGATTACTCAAAAATTAAAATAAAATGTTATCAATTATGAGTTTGGCAGAGAAAGCTTTTTTTATAACAAGTAATTAGTATTTTTGTCACATAATATTACACGTTATCGTATCGGGAATGTTTTCACATAATCAGAACTTGTGGTATTTTATTACACTTACTTTCTGTTTGTGTGCTCCTCTCTCAGTGACATATTTTTTCATTTTTTAATTTAAATATTATCAAGAGCCACATATTTCTGGTCAATACATTGCTACTTACAATGTTTACACCTTACAAAATTACAATGAAGTTTTCTTTGTCAAACTCATAATTAATAATCCGGGACTTCCCAACTAAAGAAGAAAAAGATGAGATCAAAATTAAAATGAAAATTGAATCATCGAATAAAGATTATTTCAGGTGATAAAGATTGATTTAGAGGTATTTTATATTTGAAATCATAAAATAAATGTTGAAATAATCACATTTTTGCGTAGTGATTCACTTACTTCCGTGATTTCTGATTTTTTCAACATGCTGCAAAACACTATTGTTATTAAATTATTGATTTAATAACAATTTTCTTAAATATTAATTATAACAAGGAAACGTAATGCCATAAAAATGATGCTAGGTGTAAATTGGACATTTAATCTTGTGGAATAAACTAAAACTCTTAATATATATTATTTATGTAATTTATGATTTTATATGAAACATTATATTTGGTATCATAATGGCGCTTGTTTCTGCCCTCTCGTACATTCTTTCTTATCAGTGGTAGTAGCAGTTATAAAAAGAATATGTGACCGTTTGACCTATTTTGTGCAATATCAACGTATTGGAAATTATTTTTAACGGAATCTGTAAAATATTCCATTATATTATTAACGCTATAAAAGTCCCTATATAAGAGCATTGAACTAAAACACCTCCTCGGTATTAAATACGTCCAATGTGTCCAATTACAGTACAATGGGTGAGTAGCTTGAACTACCAATAATAAATTCATAGACATTCGCGTAGGCGGAAAGTGAATTGAAGGTTTTTCGCAATTGGCTATTATAACTCGAAAATATTGCATGGTATGGAAAATGGTTTATTCTTATCTATTATAGAGCTCCAAAGATAGTCTTTGCGAGGAAGAGGAATACGTGGCAATCTGGGCGGGGCGCTACGATCAAGATGGCGCCGCGAATCAGGAACAAAAATATTTGGAATATATACAAAATGTTTTTCAATAGTGATAACTCTATCCATATTGCACTTTCAGATCCAGATTTTAGTTGTAATTGTTACTAAATACATTTAATAAAAATACCAGGTGGCCAAAGCTATAAATAAAGACTTGGCCCTGGAGCCAGGGCCCAAAAATTGACCTGATCGAAGGAGAAGGTATGATTGTAAATTACGAAACTGTATGTTATTCTGAGTAAAAAAAACCTTGCCTGCCGTTCCGGAGCCGCTGCTTTCAAAAATGGCGGCTGATTTAAAGAATATTAGGCCAATAATTTGAGGATCGAAACTGGAAATCCTTTGCGAAAAAAGTTTCTATTTTTTAACTTGTATATATGGGTTTAGACATGTAAAAATCAAAATTGGTAACGCAGGCCACCAAGGGAAAACTTTTTACAGCCAAAAAAGTAAGATTTTTTGGGTTTTTCATCTATAACTCCTAAACAATGCATCAAAGCGAAAAATGTGTTCTTTAATAAATTAAAGAACGTTAAATTTTCCGTCAAACGAGTACATATACTTTAAAATTTGGTTTCGCTGTAAAGTATAAAACCACGGTCAACCAACTCTGAGTTTTGCCAAAAACTGGAACAAATGACTATAATTGGCCATGTAACTTGGAAATGAGTTCCATAAGAGGAAAAAACCATAGAATCAAAGTTGTAGAGCATCATATTTCGCTTATACTTTTGCTGCCAATACCGCAATCCTCAGCTCAGATAAAAATCCTATTCGAGCATCTACCACTCTTCCAAACCACTTGAACGATATTGCTGATTGGGCCACAAGAATGAAAATTAAAATGAATGAAAAAAAAAAGTGTGTACGTAGTATTCACTATTAATCATACCTCTTCCCCCGAAATATATTTTAATAACATTGAAATTCCTGCATCCGATTTAATTAAATATTTGGGTTTTTACCTGGACAAAAGACTAACTTGGAGGACACACATTAGACAAAAACGTATTGAATTAAACAGACGATACGGTATTTTATCTAGGTTACTTGACAGACGTACATAATTATTTTTGACTAACAAACTAACTCTCTATAAAGTTTTACTTAAACCAATTTGGACTTATGGTATAGAACTGTGGGGTTCTACTAAAACTTCCAATATTAAAAAAATCCAGTATTTCCAATCCAAAATTTTAAGAAGGATAGTTGACGCACCATTTTATGTCGCAAACGATAGATTGCATAAAGACTTGAACATCCCAACAATTTTAGACACTGCAAAAGAAAACTACAATAACTTTCACCAAAGACTAACTTACAACACAAGTTTTCTGACAGAAAACCTAAAAACACTAGAAACCCGTACAGCCCACCTCAGCGATTACGTGGGCTGTAACCAAGAGACCTGCTGAACTAAACTATTTCCTGGATTGTGATGGGACGCTGTGAAGCTGCCAAAAAATTTGCTCACTGCAAAGAAATTTGCAGATCGCAAATTTAATTTTTATGTCCAATTTTATGTTATGTATCAATTAATAATATATTTTTGTGTTACAGCTTATCTTATTATCTTACTATTTGGGTGTGCGGAGAGTGAAGCGCCAAATATACTAAAATTTAATGAAGTAACAAATAAATTCGCGTGGAATCTGTATAAGGTAAATTAGGAACTATAAAAAAAAGTATTCTATATCAAGTCATAATGGTTGTACCTTATAGGAAGTTAAGCAACCTTCTGAAAATACCATCCTTTCACCAATCAGCTTACAGCTGCTACTTGATATACTGCTTCAAGGTGCGAACGGCACAACTGCTGCGGAAATCGCAAGAGTTCTACAACATGAAGCAGATGACAAGACGATTTTAAATGCTTACAAGAACTTCCTGGAAGATCTGGATCATAAAGACAAGGTGAGTAGAACAGACTAACGCCAATAGGTAATGTGAATAGGTACCTAACTAAATTGATTTATGATTCCAGACGACTGAGTTCAAAACAGCGACAGCTATTGCAGTAGATCAATCTTTCCCGCTATCGGAAGTTGATCGAATGAATCAACACCTAAATCAATATTTTAAAACAGATATAAAAAAATATGATTTCAAAGAAAACCCAAAAAATTCTAGTGATATGATAAATGCCTGGGTTAAGGATCACACAGAAGGTGAAATCGAAACTCTTCTACCTGAGGGTATAATTTTTTAAATATTATAAATCTATATTATTCAACTGTGTTACTTAACTAGCTTATTGTCGAATGGTACTATAGGTAGTATTCTTCCCCTTAGGGCCATCTTGCTGGTGTTACCTCCGGTATACCTCCCATCTATCTCTTTTCAGGTCGACCTCTCTTTTAGTCTGTGGGCCAGACCCCCTTACCGTGCACTCCCCTTTCTCCCTCCCCCCACATCCCTATAAATTTCATATCGTTGTGTTCCTTTTAACTATTTATTAAAAAAATGCCAATGTTCCCACAAAAAAAGTGAACGCCGAAATGGCGTTCAAAGATGGCGGATTGACGACTTTGACTTTAGTTACTTTTTTGGTCCCTGAGAATCAGAATTTGGCTTAATTTCCTCATAGTTGGTCTTTTATTAAAGCTTAATAGTCATAGAATAATAAAATATGAAGAAATTTTAAAAAATAATTGGCTTAGGCTCTGAAAAACACCAGTAAATTCAATTTTTTTAACAAAAAGAATTTTCAAGTTACAAATCAAGCGTCGTTTGTAATTAAACGGCCAACAATATCGCAAAATGTGCTGAAGTAAAACATCTGGAGAATATATTTCTCTTTATAAAACGCTGACTATTTTTTAGAAAATTTCAAGCAGTTCCGTAGAAAATGCACTTATGCGGCAGAAAAGCGGTACCTACAGGCCTCTACCACACCATTCAGTACACATAAATGGCTTAGTTATAGTGATATAATAACATTTTTGGTACATTATATTGGTTTTATTAACGAACAAATATTAATACAATAATTTAATTGTAAAAAAAAAACAAAAATTAATATTATAAAAAAATGTATTATTATTTTTTTTAATTTAACCTCCTTTATTCTATACGTAGGCCGTTTAAGAAGTTGATTTTTCCAACCAACCAATAAAATTGATATTTATATTTTATTCTATTCTACTAGATATTATAAAAAATATTTTATATTGTAGTACTTATCATTTAATTTTTTTTTAAATTAACCGTATTGTAAACATTAATTTTCAAACTATTGTATTCTTTCATTCAAGCTATTTTATGTTCATGTTGATTGTCATCTCTCTTATTTATTTTTTGTTCATTACAAGCCAATAGTCATAATTTATTTCAACTATAAGAAACAACGTTGCGATTGTACAAATGTAAATTTGAATATTTTATTTATCAAATGGTTTGCATTCCACAAACAAAAATGTTACCACCCTCTGGCTCTGTTGTCTTACATTTGCTATCTTATTAAGTTATCACTTCCAATTCAACAAAAAACTTGACTTGCTAAAAAAAAATACACAAATTTTAAATTTCCTACTTTTCTGCTGGAAACGTGGCAATTACTTATATGTACTTTTTTGTATATTTTGATGCCTACTATCAACCTTTTAAATATTTTTTAAACATACTTATGGGACACCCTGTATATATATATATATATATATATATATATATATATATATATATATATATATATATATATGGATTCTAAAGTTTTGAACTTTGATCGGTAATTTGATTTATGGACTATTTTAACATTGTTTTATGTCTTTGGTTTGTTATTGTTAAGTGGTTTGTTAAAGCAGTACCTGTTTTTGAATGAGGTTTAGGGTGCTTTTGTGGTTATTCATTGTTGTTTTGTTTCGGTCGATGTCATTCCTATATATGAGTTTACCAATTTTTTACATAGCATATTATACATTAAATTTCTATGATTTTTAGATAGATGTTCCATGGAAACCGAAAGCTACCCTGGGAATAAAATAATAAAAATTATAGAGACTGTAATTGGTGAAAATTCTGATCTCCTAAAAATATAAAATAATCTAAAATTGCCTAATACCAACTTTTACCTACGTTAAGTTTGAAAAATGCTACAAAAACAACAACATGATTTTGCATACGAATCACTTAATTATAAGTGCCCAATTATACAATTTTTTATTTATTTATTTTTTAAATTGTCTATATTTAGTTAATTTCTCTTTTGCAGGTTCGATTGATTCTAGTACTGAAATGGTTATGGTTAGCGGCACTGTTTTTAAAGGAGAATGGAAACATAAATTTAATAAGAAAAATACTGTAGTAGAGCGTTTCCATATTACGCGAAACGAAAGCCGAAGTGTTAATATGATGGGGCTGACAGGTGGCCGTTTTCGATATCTTTGGAACTCTGATCATGAACTTCAAATCGTGGAATTACCTTACAAAGTAAATATGATTAATCACTCTAAATCAATAACAGCAAATTTATAAATAAAGTCACTTCCACAGGTCTTTCAACTATTTTTCTTTAGATAAATTAAAGTTATAATATATCCTATGAACTAAATTATTTTAAACTAGCTGATGTACCCATCGTTGACGGGTGTATAGTTAAAATTTCAGAATCATTTTTTTGCGATGGATTTTGTATTATGGGGGGAGGGTCCAAATTCAATTTCATAAAATTGGTTCGGGAGGGAAGTGGGGGGTTGTTTTGATTTTTTTTAATGCGGGGCTTATAGAAGTCAAGGCTTCGTAATAGTCATCAATAAAAAACTTTGTTATTCAGCTATTTGTTGAGGTACAACACAACTGAACCGACCACCACTGAACCATTACAATTTTTTAAGTGTTTAATTTTCAATTATGATGAAGCGAGGAGATTGTGGAGTATATTAATTTATCAAAAAGACTTGCAAACTCTCCAATTCTTTTAACTCTGCTGAGTTTATCGCTGGCAAAATGATTAAAATAACATTTGACATTAAGTCACCTACATCCGTGTAAAATTAGAACTTGATCTGAATATTGTGATATGCGGGATACATTTTTTTCCTGATTTCCAGCTAATCCGTTTGGTTAATCCTAAAAATGTATACGCTAACATTTGTTAGGCTCAAGAAGATGAATCGAATGACATCGTGAACGAGAAGATCGGACAATGTTGAAAAATGATGGTGTTTTGCCCGTTTTGTGCGACAACACGATACAGATGGCCGATATTCCGGATTTTTCCCATTGAGTTGTGATATTTTTTTCTATCAATTGAGTAGTATAAGCATTAAATGTGGCTCGCGATAGGGTAGGTTGGGATGGAATCGAAGTAAGTAACTGCCTAACTGGGATCTCTAGACAAATTACTCAAGAATTCATTAATTTGGTTTAACTCAATATTTTGTTTTCATTTAAAGCCTATATTTTAAGTCAAGCGAACTTAAATATAATGTCCAAATTTCAAAAGTCTACCATTAGCCATTGCCGAGCTTACTCCTGACAAAATTTCGTTGGATAATGCTGACATCCAGATAGACAAAACATTTTTAAAGTAGATTTGGTGTCTGTAATGTATAAAACGGAAAATATCATTAAACGGGTTGATTCTGTTCAATACACAGACTAAACTTTTATTTTATTTATATTGATGTTCTTTAAGCTATAAACATATGGTATTATTAACATTTATTATCAACATTAACCGAGATATTTAGAAGAGATTACTAAAGAATTCATAAATTTGGTTCAACTCAATATTTTGTTTTTATTTAAAGCCTATATTTTAAGTCAAGCAAACCTTAATATAATCTGAAAATTTCAAAAGTCTACAATAAGTCATTGCTGCGCTTACCTCTGACAAAATTTCGTTACAATGCGGACATACAGACAAAAAAATTTTTAAAAGTGGATTTGGTGCCTGTAATGTATGAAACGAAAAGATATTATGAAACGGCTTGATTCTATTCAATGTACAGACAAAAACTTTATTTTATTTATATAGATCCTAGAAAAATATCTGATTCAGCGCACAAACACACTCACATACACAAATAAGAATGATTTAAATGAAATTAAAATTATTATTTTTTTGTATTCTTATCTAAGGATGCTATACTAAAGTTTGAGACAAGTTTCAACTTTGAGACAAAAACTTTTTTTATAGTTATGTTATAGAGTAATTTTATCTAATTTACATATTTCATTCGAAGTTATATCGTGTGGAATCAATATCAAGTCTCTATGTAAAATTAATGTGGCGGATTAATCCATTATTTCTACGGCTCAAAGGAAGTTCCAGAAGTATTATGTTAAAAAAAAAAAAAGAACAATAAAAATATAAACTAAATAGACTAATAGCTACGTGGACATGTGCCACATATATTTCGATATTTCTGTAGTAAGCTTTTGATGACTTATTTTAATTTAAGTAGCATGTACAATATGGTCTTTAAGTATGAACTTTTAGTCATAGCAGATCATGTTTATATATCTATATAAATATGAAATGTTTTTTTTAATTTTAGGAGAAAGAATTCAGGATGATTATTATTCTGCCAGATAATGGTTTAGCTGAGCTGGAAAGAAAATTTACCTATGAAGACCTCTCAGAATTAATAAATTCTATTAAAGAAACTTCTGTTGACGTATTTCTTCCAAGGTTTAAAATAAAAAAGTCCGTCGACTTGGTTAATGGTCTAAAAAAGGTATGCTACAGAAATATTTCTTTTACCATGCTTCATTGCATTTTGTTATACATAAATGGCATATTTTATTATAATTTATCTTATATAAAATAGGGAAGTGCCACGTGTGCCACCAACCACCATTTTACAAATTATAAAACTGTTCATTTATTGTACTACTCGTTGCTCAAATTGTATAACTTTAGTAACCGTAATATATATTCAACTTGTCTTCTTATAAGTCCGACAATAATTTGAACCTTTTATTTCTAATGTTTTCATTGTACGTCAAATTGTGCTACCTTTTCTATTTCATAGTAATTATAACTATTTATATAAATATCTTACTTCTTTACGCGGATGATTAAATAATTGTGGCCGACAGCTATACAGATGTTATAAATAAGATAAAAATTCTAAGTGAATATTACTCAATAGAAAAGCTAGATGTAAATATAAAAAAAAAAAAAGTCTGCCAAGTAAGGTCAGTATAGCTTCCTCACCGTTTTCGTTGTATATTACAAGGTATACAATTTTTCGTATGAGAATAGAATCTCTGAGAGAAGCAGAATCGGAATAGCCGATTACAGTTACCCTTCAACATTCAACAAAAGAGTGTCGTATTTGAAGATTCCATACTTGATTATGCTTAATAAAAAAAAAATAAATAAATAAATGCATACTGAACATGAATTTCAATACTGTTAGTGCAAAAGATCTTACGTAAATATTTATTTATTGTTTTACAAGAGTGCGTAAAAACCCATTATTTCTTTATGCTTTATTAGAATAATTTCATATTTTATTGTCATCTGCTATTTTCCATAGTAGCAGACTACTTATATCAGTTGCAGACTACAAAATGTCACCATTAATACACATAGAATTAAAGTTGAAAATTTTTACATTCGAACTTTTGCTATAATATTAGTGATATACACTACCGGATCCAGATTTAATTTTGGGGGAGGGGCTTCAGCCCTTCCGTCATATATAAATATAACGATAATTAATTTGAAAAAAAATCCACTGCAAGTTATTTCACTATGGTATATTATTTCCAAACAATTATACATATAAAGTAACATAAAATTCCTAGTTATAATGAAGAATAAATAAAAGGTGATTCCAATTATTGGACTAAACTTCTTTTTAATCATTAGTATTATGCTAAAACATAGCATTACTTCAGTAACACATTCAAAAATCAAAACAAAAGATAAACCGTTTGCAATAGCACATCTAAAAATAAACTAGAGACCATATCATTGCTGCTAATTGTCCGATTTTAACGATTTTTTTTTGTTTTTTGTTTCTTAGGAAATTCCGCAAACCTTTAAAAAAACATATACAATATTCACAAAAATGTGTATACTTCTTGAGTTATTGGGAATTTAATTTTACCATCCCTCGTAACTTTTTTTTGAGCTTCTTTTCGTTGAAATATGTTATATAGATAAATTTAACGGGCGTAGAGAAAATGACTTTAGCGAAATTCATTAAAACCGGTACATTCGTTTAGGCGCTACAGTCTATAGCAACGCAGGTTTTTCGGCCGCCATTTTGAAACGAGAAGGCGAATAGTAATGTCGTTGAAGGAGGATCATCCTCTGGTGACCTCTGATTTTATATCCAAATTCGAAAAAAATCGGTCTAGGGCAATGCGCGGACGGCGGACAGCGGACTAGTAGTACATATATAAGAGAAAGTTGTGGACAGAATTCAATAAAATTGACTCTACGTTATTTTTTCACCAAAGTCTACCTTTTAGCTAACATTGAGCCAAATCGAACAAGCCCTTTCTGAAATATTGGCATATCTAAAAATATACGTTTGCGCGTGCGTAAGCGGAAGTGCTGGATGGAATTTGATAAAATTGATATGGGACCATATAGGCACCAATCAGCATAATCTCTGAAAATTTCATGAAGATAGGATGATCGGTACTAGGTGATATGCCCGTCACATCTATTTGACTACAGACAGACAGACAGACGGACAGACAGACAGATAGACACCGAACCAAATTTGATCCTTGATGTCTGAAACGTAAAACGCGAGTGAAAATTTTCGATTCTGGGCAAAAAAAAAATTTTAATCTCTCGCACGAACACAATGCTTCCCTACCTTCGGTAGTGAGGAAGCAATAAAATATTATATTTAAATATAATTATGTATATAATTATAATATATAACAATTATATGTAACGGATGGAAAAAAATAAGGAAATTATTTTATGAATATACATAAATTGAAAAGGTCCCCGAGTACATTTACCTAGAAGTGCCATTCTCGTATACTGGTTTGTTTTATAGAACCACTAAGTACTTTGAATCCAAGACTAAGGTAGCAATGGACTCTGTTATTTCAATTTGTGCTTAACCAAAACTGAGATCGCGGAATAGTAAAATAAAAATGAATGATTCAATTGCAATTAGTATCCTTCACTATAATGTTCAACTCTTTAACGTTTTACAATACACATTATCATTTTAAGCCAAAATAAATTTGCATGCTTTGTAAATGATTTTTTTTTTTTTTTGTTTTAAGCTTATTTATTGAAAAATATTACAATCTGTCTCAAGGACATTTATAATAGTGTTCACAGATCACATTCGCACTCTATGTACAGTAAATAAAATAAATTATACAGAAAAATAATATATATACAATAAATAAGAATAAAATAACCTAAAAATAAATGAATAAAAAGAACACATACATACCTATATACAATATTACAATCTGGTGAGAGAACTCCAAACCAGACTTGTCCCTCCGAGTGTGAAGGGAAACGCATGGCTCCAAGAGATCCCTGCACTTCTCTCTCAACCGCGTCACTGGGGCTAAACCCAGTGGAGAAGTAAATGAATTAGAGGACCTTTTTCATATTTTCGTCCGGTGACCGATTTACGATCCCTTCCGCTCTAATCACTTCCTACCTCATTCCATTAACATGACCAGGGCGAATTATTTGGTATTATTCAAAACTGACAATGCAATCTTCATCAAAAACCTGTTTTTTTTTATATATAAAACAATGTTGCAGATTGAGGTCCTTTATTTTCAATGAATAATGACATCATAAATCTTTGAACAAAATGTTTACAATAAACTTTGAAGTTAATTTATTTTGTTCTGTTTATAGTTTGTTACTCATGCATAAAACATATTTATGTGGAATACATATCTTTGGGAGGTAGAAGGGGCTTTCGGGCTGAAGCACCCCTTCCCAAAATTGTAAAATGTAACCATGTTTTGTGGAAAGAAATATTAAAAAATGATCTCTTAAAGTATTATTGTCCGTGTAATTACATTCAATAAGACTTCAAGAATCACGTAAACACCACTTCATATAGGTATTTAGTATCTTTCTTTTTTTCCCAAAGTCATCATCTTTAAATATATGAAAAAAAAAAAGATTCCGAACTGAGGCCTCTTCCCCCTCCTCCCCAAATTAAATCCTGGATCCGCTAATGCTATGCCTATATTTATATTTATTGCTAATAATTAATTAATTAATTAATCATTACTATTCGTATTTTTATTACTTACTATGTTTTACTGTTACATTAGTATTATTATTGTATTATAAGGAATATTATATTATATTGGGAGAAAATTCGTTCGGTTTTAAGGGTGAAATAAAACACGATTTTTTTCATACAAAGAATAAATTTTATTCTATACTGTATTTGTCGTTTTTATTAATGACCTCTTGCCATCTTTGTAACAGTTTCATTTTTCCAGTCTCGCAAAACATCTTTGCCGGTCTTTGTTATGGCACTAGGCGGCCGTCAGCAGTTGTCCATGTTTTCCTGCGCACCACACTGTTGTAGATTATCCACCCGTCACTATTCGACTGAGAATGGATCCGTTTCGTCTCTGTTGAGAAAAGAGTTACAGATTGATATTCGGTTGGCCATGTTTGTCTCAGTCAGTTGGTATGACTACCAAACATCGAGGCGGGACACGTAGTCAAGCTGTTGTAAATGCCTTTAAACGATGCCAAAACATATTTTCAGTGTCTCGTAACTGTAGCGACCCATCTTGTTCGGTTAGAGCCTTGATATAACTAGAATTAACCTAGGTGGGCCGTCCGCTGCGGGGTGCATGTTCGAGGCTCCTATCTCCGCAATACAATTTGGCTAACCATTTTTGCGATAGCGTTAAGGCATCGTCCCAATATATGTAAGGAAATATCTTTCGGTGGATCTCCGAAGCTCGCTTGCCTTCTTCGAAATCAAAAAGCAATGAATGCCGAAAATGCATTTTATCATTTGCCAAATTCACTACGCTATAGCACAAACAAAACTAATGATAATGAAACCAAACACAACGGTTTCGAACAGCGGACTTCAACTTTTCGAATAAGTATCATTATGGTCAGATAAGGAAAGAGATCTGGAGATATTTGAAAACAATTCGCACTATTAGCAAAAACCTAACGAACTTCTGGATCCACTCAACATTTCATTGTTTATATTTAGGCATACAAGCAGTTGCTTGGCTGTTATGAGGAGAGGATGTTGTTACTGAATCCCAATGAATTCTATTTTGTATTTGTAATCATTGTTATCAATATGGCTAATTCTGTTTATATGGAGGTTTCCCCGAAAACAAATAAAAATATTCTTTCATTCAATATGATATAAATGATATCATAGTGTCTATTCACGCTAAAGTGTACGCCGTAAGGTCAGTATAGTAAAAATCAGAATTAACTTTTGATTTTATTTAGGCATAAACTGACCTTTGAATTTGATAAGCTGACCTTAAGGCATACATAAGTAACCGAAGAAATAGTAGAATAGAAGAAATAGGGAAAACAATCTTTTAAGTCCTTATAATAGGTGTTTCTTTGGGTCCCAACAGCATCGGCTATTTCCTGAGCCAGTTCTCTGCTGGAATAAAGAAAATAATGCTAAAGGAAAAATAACGATGGATTCAGAATTTTGTTTGCAAATAACTTAAAAATTATACAATTTTAGGTTCATTAAACCTCCGAGTATTTGAAAGTTTCTTATAAAATAGAAAACATCATGGAAATCGAAAAAAATATTCATGTGCGATAAAATATTCTTATTGCATTTTTAAAAACATTTTTCCGGTTTATATTTTTTGGAAAGTTCTATTATGACAAAGTTGTAATCAGCATATCGCTATAGTTTGAATATAATGTTGAAATGAAACAATGAAACCGAAGAAATGAAACCGATGAAATGAAACCGACCGAAGAAAGAAACTGGTTTCAAATATGTTTTTGAAAAAAGTAACAATGGGTTCAGAATTTTATTGGCGAATAACTAAAAAACTACACCAATGGTACTGCTCTGTTTTCTATTGTAAGTACGTGAAAAAGTACGAATAAAAATAGGAAAAAAATTAGGTAATATGGAAATTCATTTATGTTTTCTTCAAGTTTACAATGATAATCATGGTCGAATTTCGACCACTGGGCGAACAGTAGTTTTAATTATTATATATAAAATACCCTCACGAAATTAATTTTTTAATGTTCACTTAAATATAATACAGTTATATTTCATATAATAAAATGCTTTATTTCTACTTTCTTAGATGGGAATGCTTACTGCCTTCTCAAGATATGCTGATTTCTCCAAGATGACTAATTCTTCAATTTCAGTCAGTAAAGTTATGCAGAAAGCAATGATTGTGGTAAAGGAAAAAGGTACCCGAGCTGCTGCAGGTTCTGGTATGCAAATGTTTTTTCTCGCTTTTTTTTCAATACATTGAAAAATAAAATAAAACATGAATCTTGATAGGCACGAGGAAAAGCAACGGCTTTAATACAAGTAGGTCCCTCATCGAGATCATTATCAGCTATCTTCTGGGATTTTTCGGTTGGTCAAATTGTCAATTGGTCGAATTATGGTCATTTCTTTTATTAATTGGTTGGAATGTCCTTTAAACTTATTATAAAATCGTTTGAAATGCGCCCGTAGGAATGTTTTGGTAGTCAGGTTAACGTGTAAAGTGTTTTATTCTTGTACCAGAGTGCTTGGGTTACCGTTTATGGAATCTAGATGTTATCGAAATATGCAGGAGCGTATGTTTCTAGTCGTAGAGTAAACGTGATATGTTATAACTTTTGCAGTCATGTATTTGTTGTAAGTGATATTGCAAGATAAGTGATATGTGTTTATGATTTTCATGTTTAGTGATGACAACAGTATCGTCTGAGTAGGTAGCTGTATTGGTACTGCTGGGGGAACTAGTTAGGCAAGTGGGCTCTACTATCGTGAGCCTTTTTTCCAACTCCTGACGGTTACCTTGAGGGTGCCGTCGCATACTTATCAGAGTGTGAATTTCTCTGGTACAGGAACCTCACAGACCGTGACAGCGTAAAAGATTGGCATCAATCCAGAGTATGGCCTTGTTGCGTGTCACCAGAGCGTTTAGGACAACATCACACGAAGCAGTGCAGATCCTAGCGGGGGCGGTATCTCTCGACCTTCTGTGAGAAGATGGGACTAAATAAAAGTTCACAAAAGAAGGCTTGGCAGGAATTTCAGAAGATCTACGGGTGAGGATTGTGGAAAGTCCTAACAAATGAAAGAAGATAATCCGGGAGAATACAATTGAATGGAGCCGTCGGTTTTGTGGCTACCCCGAAAAGGAGTAGTTTTAGGAAATACCCTACCATAGAATCGCGCCTAGATGCACAATGGGTCCTCCCGGACTATTGGGTTCCACAATTCCTCACGGGGCATGGGAGTTTTCGAGCTAGCTACATAGTTTTGGCGAGGATACAGATCCGAATGCCCCACTTCTGGAGTTCTGGAGACTGTCGAACATGTGGTCACAACCTCCACTGCATTCGAAAGAATAAGGGCAACAATGATGAGAACCGAGGGGTCCTAACAGAGGATGAACTTCTTCAATTGGTAAGTAAGGATTAACTTCACACGATTCAAGAAATGTATTTATGGCTGGAAGGATGCAGTGGGTCCAGCCCACTTCAACATTGGAGCATAGAGAAGAGGACCAGCACCAAGAAGACTGCTGGAAGACCCATGATCAGAAGTCATAGAAGATAAAAACTTAAACTGGTTCCCTTGCAGTTGTTACGCAGTCATGCATAACATCCCACTATTGCAAACGGCCTTATAGACCATTATTCAAAGGAGGGAGGTAAATAAATAAAAGAGTGTGAATGTCAACATTCATCTCCTGACACCACCGAGAAATGAAAATTAACCGATCCTGATGGGAATCTAATTCACAACGTTCAGAATCCCCATTGTGCTCGGCCATACCGTCATTTGTGGGTAGCTGTAAGGGAGTGGGCACTTTAAGAAATGTCGTGTGCCTATTTGTTGTATAGAAGAGTAACAAGAATTGTTTCTTGAGGAACACCGGCTAAGATCGGATGATGGAGCATAGACCAGAGATGGCTGGTAAGATATGGGTCTTGCTGCGAAAAATCTACCTTAGAGAAAAAAGAAATTAATTAGTAGATGTATGGAAGCATATATGGGCTAATGCATGGCCTTACCAAGTACCGATTATGAAGTATTTTACTCAAATTGATTCATTATTGGGAATTCAATTACTACTTCTGTTAATCCTTTGATAAGAACCGAAGTAGTAATTAAATTGTTTGGTACTCTTAAAATTTCAATACTCGAATAAAATACCTGGCACTCAGTACTCAGAGTAGCAGTTACCCATCTCTGTGTGGAAGTATGGTCTTAAGCTTGAAATTTGAGCTTTGGAGCTCCTGGTGCCTGACTTCGTCGAATGCTCGGGCGTCATCCAGAAATACTCCAGTTGCATAAAATTTGTGCTTTAGTGCTATCGATATGTAGTCAATTACCCTGCGTAGTTGTGTTGCCGAGTGCAATTTTCTAATTCCAAATTGATGGTCAGAAATTATTTGTTGTCCGTTAGTATTTCTAATAGTCATGGGTATAATAATTTTCCGAATACTTTAGAACATACTGGCAGCAAACTGATTATTCTATTGGAAGGATTGTTTTTGTGTTTATCTGGTTTTTTTTTTAACCGTGGTTATGAAAGAGTATTTCCACTGAATAGGAAATATAGTGGTCCTGAGGATGCAATTATAGATTGTAATAAGAAACACTAGAGCCTTCCTAGGCATTTACTGGAGCGTCTCAGTATTTACCAAGTCATGTCTAGGAGTTATCCTTTTCAGCGATTGTTTAATTTCACCTGTGATGGTGAAAAATGGTGGCGGTGGTAGTGTGAGTAGTAGAGGTATGTTTAAATTTTTTTGTACCAAATTCTTATGTCATTAGGGTTATTGAAGTCCGTACGTGGTTTAACATCAGAGAAAAAGAAACAGAGGAAAGGAAGTTAGCAAAGAGTCAAATCTTTCCTTCTCCACAATGGCCAAGGAATCATCTTCTCTTCGGAGAGATGGTGACCCCTCACGATGCTTTGAAAGATTCCTAGTATGTTTCAATAAATTTCCATATTATATTGAAAGGTTATCCAATATCATACCAATAGATGGACAAGTTAATATTAACAAATGGATAAAGTTTTAATTACTCCGGGAAATGTGTCAAAATGACAAAGTTTCTGCTTGATCCAATTAGTTTCGGGATATTCTCTTCTTCTGGCACTCCTTATTCTCAGCAGTGCTATCTTAAATTATTTCACAAGTGATCCTTGACGGTGGAATCTTCCTACATCAGATAATTCTGATTATTTTTATTATTTAGTAGAGGTAACATAGCCTAAATAACGAAGGGATAACCTTTGCGTTAATTTTTCTTTCTTGTAGTGACAACTGCATCGTTAATAGTAATTCTTTTATTCGTTTTACTGACAAAGCTTTTTGCTAACATACCATTTCGTTCTTATTCATTTACTTTATTATGCCTAAATATAATAAAGAAATACCAGTATCTTATTGATAAAATAGATGTGAGATAAAATAAAGAATTGTTTCTGCTATTTTACATTTTCAATGTTTTTTTTTTTAAATCATAATCTTTTCATATTTTGTAATGTTTCTAATCTCATTTATGTTCCTTAGAATAATGATCTTATGGTTTTGAAAATTCCTTTAGAGAATTTATCTACTAATGTATGATATTTTATTACATATGTTTATTTTTTATTTTTAATATAAAATAAAATAAATAATTGGTTTATTAATGTTAAACAATATTTTTATACCACACTTCCATATAAAATGTTGTTTTCTGAATGCATTTCGGCAAACTGATATCTATTTTTTTATTGCTTATGTTGTTATGGTTGTAGTTATCATTGCTTTGGTTAGTTTAGCTAAATACCTAGTCCTTTCATAAATATTATTATAAGGAAAAATATATGGATTTCAACAGAAAAATTAACTTTTTTCAAAAACTTTATTAGAAAATAAAATTTATATCAATAGAGAGTAAAACAAAAAAAGGAATTACTCAAAATGTCCCCCTTTTGCCTTGACAGAGGCATTTAATCTTCGTGGCCAGTCATCAGTAGAATGCAGCATTTCTTGAGGAAAGCGCTCAACTGCTCAGACCAGATATTGAAACTCATCTTTTAATGATAATTAACTTTGCTTTTCGATGCTGCTTGTTGTTTTTTCAACTATGATGTTGATGATGACTGTTTCTACTTTTAAATTTTAAAGACGTTTATTTGTTTGTTTCGAGTTTTTTTTTTTTTAAACTATTACAGAATTTTGAGATAAATATTTTTGGTATAATATACTTCCCTAATTTTTTAGACCTAATATTTTCTTACCTGTAATTAAAATTTTATTTTTAATATTCCTGGTTAGTTTCATTCTAGCACTTTTGCATAAACCTTTTGGTTCTTATTTTGAACTAATTTATAAATTATGTTTTTTGATATTTCAGAAGTAAAAATAATGCAACAATGTTGATTGATACTATATCTTCTATATATAATCAGTTAATATGATTTTTATTTATTTTTAAGATAAAAGTGGTTCGAAAGAAAAAAAAAAAAAAAAAAAAAAAAAAAAAAACCTCATGTATTTTTTTGCAAACTTTTTCCCACAAAATCCTTTAGTTTTAATTTTTTAACAAATATTTCTATTTACATTTTCTATTAAACTGTTTTTTATTTGACTTTTTTTTCAGGTATTACCTTGACTGCAAAAGCACTACCCCCTCAGATGGTTTGCAACAGTCCATTCCTTTATATAATCTTTAAAGGAGATACTATTTTATTTATTGGTAGTTTTCTAAAGCCCCCACATAAAATTAACCGCTAAGCAATAATTGAAATCATGTAAAAATTTTGTTCTATATAATAAATTTCTTTATTAACTATCATTATTTCTGCTAGATAGTGTTCAGAACTTATTATAAATGTAATGTTTTCAACTCCCTTCCATAAAAAGTATTTTTAATAGTAGTCCATCTCACCTGGAAAACCTGATTATCTTTGGTAATGTAAACAAAAATGATTATCTACATCTTATATGAAGAAATCTCAAAACTGTATTATTTTATTATCTATTATCTAAATAGATTTAAATTTTACATTTTTATTCTGATTTAGTTCAATAAATAATTTAATTTAATGCTTTTATTGTAATTAATTGTACACTATGCTATATACCAATGTAAATATTTAATTTTAAATAAATTTTGTACAAGTATTTATTTCTTCTCCATACTTATATATAAATATAGATTTGTATGTGAAATAGATAAGTATATTTTTCAATAATTTTAGGAAGATTCGTTTTTTCGTTTTTTTTTATTTGAGTTTAGGAGGTTTAGAGGAAAACATGGTAAAAATCATAGTAACGTTATTCATGAAAATTGATTTTAATAACTAAAAAGTAATTAAACTCTACGAATAGTTCGCATAGTAAATTGGTCAGTGGCCAATATTTTTTTGAAATGAAACTTTTTTCTTTGAGATTTATAGGAAATAAATTTCAAATTAAGTTAAAATGTTATTTTTATCTATTTTTTTCAATTTGATTTGTAATAAATATGCCTATACCAAACTTTTCTTTTATATTTTAGATAATGGCTTTTAAGTCGTAATTAGTTTCTTCAAAGTTTTAAATACCTGAACCTTTATATCTGAAAGAAAGGTTATAATAAAAAAAATAAAATAAAATATAGTGAATATATGAGAAGGAGTTAGTGGAGGATGCCAGTGTTTCAACTGCCTCCCGCAGTGCCACATCCTACGCCCTGAAGACGACCTGCAAAGTGGGTCGAAACGTCGGCAAAAATTAAAATAATTTATATATTTTAATTTTTTTTATTTATTTTACCGCACCCTCGACTAACTCCTTCTCATATAGTGAATATAATTTACATTTTGGTAAATTTACTTTATAGAATAAAGATTAATTGTCAATGTCCCAATAACAGATATAAAAATTAAAATAACTAAGGACGACATTATTGTAATTTGAAATGTTGTAAGTCAAATAAGAAAGAAAATGGATAATTAGTTGATGGACTGAAAGTTATCTCCAAATGAATTGCATTGCTATCTGGTAGATAATAGGAAAATAATTATTTTGAGTTTATTGTAATATACTACAAATAATGACAAGAATACCATTTAATTTTAAAACTATTAGCTCGTAACCATTAAATCAGTTTAATTGTATTTCACTAAACATATTACTTTCATTTTTTAATTGTATTAAACAAAATATACTATACCTATTTTACTTAGCTTGAAAGCCAATTTAACTGTTCACCAATTTGCGCTATCAGCATGTTATTTATAAAATATACATATTTGGGATATTTACAATAAATAAGTTTATTTGATTTTATAGGGACTGAGGGCTGCAAGAATTATTGTATTGACGGGAATATTCCCACTCATTATCTCAAACTGAGAATGGGACTCGATCGAGTTATTATTCTGTATGCTATAGAAATAAGTATTTTCCCCAGCCTATGTAATTACCCCAAAGGTCAATTGTATAATAAAACTGACAATGAATACCTTGCACATTAAAAATTGTTCTGTTGTGATCTTCAAAATGCTTTTACACCAATGGACTAAGAGTAAAAGAGGGCAGGTTAATATTTAACTATCGCTATCCAATGATACTAATTTTAATGAACTTTTGTAGTGGAATGGTTGGTTGGTAATGCAAAAGGCACTGCTGAACCAGCAAGTAATCTGGTTTGAGTATAAGTTGTTTATTTTGTTTTTTAAACATCTTTATTGGTAAAAATATATTTTTAAAAAGTTCTTAGTGTGTTTTATTGGATCAGGCAACATATCCTAGCATATACACAAAGGTGATGATACCAACTGAAGATCCACATTAATATCCAAATATACCTATAGAAATAAATGTTGGTTAACGGATATCATAAAGTCCATTTGGTTATGTGAGGTTTTAAAACTGAAAGTATGCAAGTAACCCTAGCAGTAAATGACCAACAAGACTTGGATAAGATCAGCACAATAGCTGACTTAATAGCTAAGATAGGTAAGACTCAATTTGGAGAAGTGGCTACAGTAAAGCTGACTCACTATTCTACTTATGAAGACCTATTGCTTACTGTCCTCGAGAAATTAACAGAGAGAGAATGGCTGCATTAGAAGGTTGCGAGTCAGTCAAAGAATTAGGTAAAGGTGCTTTGCTCTTGTCATGACAGAGTCGGCGGTTAGAGCTGACAATATTACCATGCAGCGAAAATGAGCCACTCACACTATATACTGGTACCTATAAGATTCTAAAAAGAGACAAGAAGATCAATTTGAGTCCTCCAATTACCAAATGGTTCCAAAATTGTGACCGTCGACAGATTAAAGCCAGCATTCTTGCTTCAGGATCAAGACTCAAGTTTCAGCCAGCCGGATCCTCCTAGTATACCTATGAATAATGCATTTAATGACTCTGCTAAGACAGCCAGGTCCTGAAACAACTACAAGTAGTAAGAGATACAGGTCAGGTTTTCTCTACAAAGTCATTGGAGGGAAGGTGATGTAGTGGACTGGTTGCATGGTAATGTATAAAGCACTGGCCAATCAGCAAGTAACCGCCCAGTTTTAGTATAGGATTTTGTTTTACCATATACACTAAACTTCTATTGCAACAAATAGGAGAACTGATATTGTTGCTCTGAGTGATAAACTTGATGATGTCTGTATCCATATTTAGACATTATCAGGTCCATATTCTTTTTTCTCCAGACATTGCCCCTTTAACTAAACTGAAAATTATTCTTAACATAGACCTTTCAAAATCCAGGAGTCTTGTCTTATCAAGTTTATTGAAGCCACTGACCCATACGTAATGGCTGGACGAACTAGCGACTTATACAAGTTTACTTCAGTTCCAAAAGTTAGGAATCTTCTTAGACCTGAGCAGAATTTATTTGAAATAATATTCTCAGAACAAATCGTTAAATAACCTTCTCCAATTATTTCAGAAATAATTTATTTCATAATATAATTTAAATATTATTTCTGAAATAAATTATTTCAAGATTAATGATATAATAATTTCTGAAATGATTATTTATGAAATAAACATTCTGATAAATTCAAGAGGGATTGAATTAATCATAATAAACATCCTATTGTTTACTCTAAATATAGTTTTCACTTATACCTCTGTTTCCTGCAATTAGACAAACTTCATACATTATATTGATTGCTGTTTCAGACACTTTAATGTTAGTAGAAGCTGAGTGTGCCCAACAACTATTTCATTTTTTCTTTTACTCCTTTTTTGTTTTCTGCAATTAGATGGATTTGAGGCAATATATTTACTGCTGCTTGAGACTTTAATCTTTAAACAGAATGTGCACAACAATTTTATATTTTCTTTTGCCCCTTTTTTTGTTTTCTGCTATTAAATGGACTTGAGGCATTATATTTACTGCTGTTTGAGACACTTCAAATAGATATATTGCCTCTTGCTCATCTAATTGCAGAATAAAAAAAAGAGGCATAAGAAAAAATGAAATTTTTGTCAGTCACACTCAAATTCTACTAACATTAAAGTGTTTCAAACAGCAGTAGATATAATGCCTCAAATCTGTCAAATGGCAGAAAACCTAAAGAAGGATTAAATAAAAAAGCAAATTTTCGTTGGGCGCACACAGCCTCTGCAAAGATTAAAGTGTCTCAAACATTTTCTATTAGCAAAAAACAAAAAGGGGATTAAGTTATTCTTTAAATAATTCATTTTGAAATAAATTACTTTATTTCAATGAATGTTAAAATATCAAAACAATTATTTCAGAAATAAATTTAGTAGTTATTTCACTGAGATTATTCCATTGGCAATTTGAAATATTATTTCAAGAATAACCATTTTTTCGGAAATAATTTATTCATGAAATAATCATATCATTTATATCATGTATAAATTATTCCAAGAATGAGAAGGTCTAAATCTGCTCCTGAAACGCCTTACAAGGCTGAAACAGCACTAATTGGTTGCCAGGATACTCCTGCTGATCCCTTGGGAGATATAATTTTGCGAGTTTATATCAGTTTCTAGGTGTGCAAAGCTGTTCACTCTTTTAAACTTGTAAATTCCATGATTGAAAGTTTCAATTTCTGTCTCCTATCATATAGCTCCAACTCTCATATATTTTATCTTATTCTTCTCGACGAGTTCCATATGCATATTCCCAACTGAGAACAATCTCAAAGTCATCAACTTACCCTAGTAATTGGGGTTCAGCCTAGCAAAGCCTGCAAGCACCTTCATTCTGGCACTCGAAAGTTTCTTTGATAAGGTTATAAAATTTGAAAAACTATTTAGAAATATGAAATTTAGCAATTTAGGTTACTAGAACATTATTGCATAGTTTTTCTCCTCTTAAAAAGCTCATTTCACAGCTGAAGTGACATTTATAAAACAAGATTTTTTTTTTCATCACTAGCCATGGCCTGCGGGACTTTGGTGGAGGTCTCAATGTAGCCCACGGAACTTAGTCAAGGTATCAATGTGGCCCATGGGCCAAAAAGTTTGTGGAGGACACTGCTTTGTAGTGTCATAAGCAGTTTTATAATCTACTAAGAGAATTCAGAATGTTCTTTACTCTTCTCTAATATCATTCTTAGAGTAAATATTTGGTCCATAGTGGCCCATTCTTTTCATAATCCTGGTATTTACCTAACTATCTTTTAGTGTGAGGAATCAGAAGATGTTTGATAGCCCTTTATGGATAGGAAATAAATTTCATTCTGGGTCATTTAGTGCTGTACAATAGAAATATCATTTGTCTGGCATAAAATGACAAGAAATAATTAAATTACTGAATGATGTAACCTCAGAATTAAAATAAAGGATAAGCATAAATAAACAAATAAAATCATATACATATTTGTACTGATAAGCAATACAGATAATATATAGATAACTATGAAATAACAGTAAAAGATAGGTACATAATACATAGGTAACTATGAAATGATAGTACAATATATAGATAATTGTGAAATAACAGCAGAGGCTGAAAATTTCATTATGAATTTTCTAAAACTGCTTAAAATCATTTTTGGTGATTAAAATCATTTGAATTTTAACATTGAGTCAATCATTTGAAATTTCATTATGAATTTTCTAAAACTTTTTAAAATCATTTGAATTTTAACATTGACTCAATCGGCTCCAGAGTTATATTACATTAAATATGCTGGGAAATAACGTTATTTAAGCGATAAATCAACATCCTGCAATCTGAAATTGGAGCGCTGTATCGATTTTTATTTAATCATTAAACAAGTTCTGTTGAAACAGCTCCGGAGCACGCTCATTAGCAAGAAAACAAAGGTCTATTTATATAAAACACAGATCAGGCCTGTCCTAACATATGCCTTCCAGACATGCACACTTCACACAGAATAGAAATAATCTCCTGAATCTCGAGAGGAAGATCTTTTGAAGAATCTATGAGCTGGTAAGGGATGAGGTAGGTTGGAGAAGAAGAAGAAATCAGGAACTCTATGATCT